CTTGGAAAATTGTGGCCAATTTTCACTTTTTTGACAATATTTCACAAACTATTGGTATTAGAGAATTTGTGTAATTGCAAAAGTTAAAGGACGTCTAAAAATACATCTTTTTATATTTCAAGGTTTGCTCCATCACTAACGGTTATTGAGATAAATAAGAAAAGTTAGTATTAAATTTAAGATTCCCATGTTATTCTTATCAAGGAAATTAAAATTGTTGCAGTTTGCTTATTTGTGGATATACTTTGATCAAACTTGGCAAATTTATTTATTTCATACTAAGCTAATGATATTTAACATAAATACACGCTTTATTACTCTCCCCGAGCAGTAAACCTAGTACTCGACCAACAAATTATACCGGGAGTAATAACGTACCATGTAAGTTTTATTAGTTGTTTTTGTTTCATACAGTAAAAAGTGCTACAGCAATGTTTTTCTCAACCCCTTATTATATGTAGATGTTTTGTCAATTTATAAAAAAAAATCCATATTACAAAGAACCAAATAGTTTAATAATTTAATATAGTTAATTAATGGAATGTTTAGACCTTGTTCTATGGCGTTGTCTACTGATTAACTAAGCCCTCAAACGTCTAATCACAAGTTAACGATGCTATAACAAGAAGCTATACGGTATCATTAGTTACAACAATTAGTTACAATCGTCATAGTAACCGTAATAACAACAATAAGGCCACAATCTAGTTTAGGTGTTTTCTTACAGTTTTCTTGCAAAATGACTCGTAAACCTATATAGTTAACTAGAGAAAAACGGTAACTAAACCTTTTACAGCGTTTTAGGGCTCTGCCGCAGCCAGCCAGGGCTAAAATATTTAATGAACTATGCGAAAGTTAATTTTTTTTATTTATATTTATGTCACTTTTTAAGAAATTAATAGAAATATATTTTTGGAGATTTCAGGGTATTATTTTATCATTATAATCTAGTATCTTACATGCGATTTTCAAAAAGCCTCTAGTATTTGCTGATGGTTCTTGGGGAGAATGGCATTTACTTGCTTCAAAGCTATGTAAGTGTTTAAATTTAACTTAAGAGTTCATGCAGCCTAGACGTTCTGACCCATAAAATAATTAAAAAACGACAAAGAAAATTTCTAATTTCACAGTACACTAGATATTTAAAATACAATCACATTGGAATTTGAATAAAATATTTTTGAGATGGTAAATAACAGCAGCTGTTTGAAATTATCATAGATGGCTGCTAGCCTCCAAGGACTCTGAATCTTATGCTGTCTTTCAGGCGATGCTGGAAGAACGCCTGAATGAGATACCGAGCCTAGAGGCGGCGCTACATCAAGACCCTCTGGGATGTGCTCGTAAGCTGGTGTGCGCTCTGGCGGCGAGACCCAGCAACTCTCTCAGTCGAGAGGAGGTCAACATACTCGCCATGATAAGGTAGGACCATGACTAAAATATACCCCCGCCACAGCAAACCTGCATACTAATCGAATTTCCATTTCCCTGACTGGATTTCTACTAAACTATTCCAGATCTATTTCCTATTTAAATTAAATTAATTTTAATGAATAAATAGGTATGCTGGTACAGGGTAGGTAATTGGGTGAGTTTTTTTATTGAAATTCTGAAAACTTAGTGTTAAATAATAAAACTGGCAAATTTAATTGAAATATTATAAACAAGAAAACTACAATAGTTAATTTACTCTCCATAAAAATAACATGGAGTTTCAAAATGTTAAATCTTTTTAAACTATCTCCCTAACTGTTAGGCATATAACAACGCTTCTTATACACTATATCATTTTGTAAGCTCTGCAAAATGGCTTGAAAAAAATGTAAGGTTGTATGTATGTAGGGTCAAACGTGAGAAAAACTAATTTTCACCCCATAAGCCTCCGTTACCATAGTCCGATCATGCTGGTTTGCGAACTCGTTCGATTAAAAGTAGGTTAACACGATTGTACCAAATGTTGTCAAAATCTTATCATTTTTGCTCGAGTTATCACGCTAACGGACACATATATAATATGTTCGTATGAATTTGAACGGACGGGGTTTGGCCTCTCGGGACCTCAAAACGATCAAGTAAATCAGCTCCGGGACCATGTCTTATTATGAGACCTACGGGAATAGCTTATTCCCTATATGGGAAATTCGCTAAAAGAGGCTAAATCCTAATTCAACCCTAATGCTGATACTTTTGGAATCCTAGGGAAATAAATAAATTGCGACCTAAAAGATCTGGTAAACCACCGTTTTTTACTCAAAAGTATTCCTAGCACCCCCTCGGTCCAGCTCCAGTTCACTATGGAAATTGATTTTGAGAATGAGTCTGTCTGGGGATACCCCTAGTTTAAACCTATCTGATTTTTATGAATACAAATTGAATACATCAAATGTTCCTTACGAGTATAAATGTGATTTAACCATCAGATTAAGAACAAGAGGGGTCTAACTTCTTCAGTTTTAGTCTCCTAAAAATAATGGATTCAAGTTAACCTTCTTTAAGTATTTTACTTTAATATATAAAATACAGCTTGGTTTGCAGGAATGTTTGTTTAAGGTTATTAGCAAACGAATCACCAAAAACTGAGTTGACAATTCATCCGATTTACAATTCAGCATAGGCAACCTTATGCATGAAATAATAAGTTTTTTTTTAATTACTAAACAAATTAACTATGGTAAATTAGTCATAATTTCATATAATATGAAAAAAATACATCGTAATATTTCATTGTTACCATTCTATGTACTCGTATACCTCCATAGTTGAAATCGTTAAAATACAAACAAACTAATAACCGTTACTGTCTTAAGGCTATAAAATACTGATAATAGATTGGCCAGTTTGACTAAATAAATGAACACGATGGTTATATTTTGAGGTGACACGACAAAATGTGTTTTTTTTTTACTATTGACGTATTTTTTGTTGGGACTGTAATATTGACCTATATAACATTAACTACTGTCTTAAGGCTATACAAATACTGATAGATTGTTCAATTTGACAAAATAAACAAACACTATAGATATATTTTGAGTCGAGACGACAAAATATAGTTTTTTTTTCGAAACTAACGACGTATTTTTGTTGGGACTGTAATGTTGACTTCCATGTCAAGTGTTTACCTCAGGCTGTGGGAGTTTCAACGACTCTTGTCACCATCAACACAAAATTGCATCTCAAGGTGACCATTCTGATCCCCAACTCGTTTTTACAGTTACAGTATTTTTTTACTAACTATGTATTTGAGTAAATTTTTTTACGTTACTTTTTATGGACTCTTTTTATAACGGCAAGTAAATTCTTTTCATATATAGGGGACATTAAATATTAAATGAACATATTTGTTCACAATCAGAGTTAACTATAAAAGTCATGCTGATCTTGCCGATTTTGTTTAAACAATTGCAAGTCCCATCGTTATAATGTACAACAACCGTACACCAAGTCGTTATATTAACTTATAACAACTCCGAGTCGCTAGTACCCGTAAATTGAATTAATGGGGTTTTACCTTTAGACGCATAGTTTTAGGATGCATATGAGTAAAAAAAAGTAAAAAAGATATATGATGTTTTAACTTACAACATCTGCATACACATTTGATTTCTTAGTTAAGATATAAATCAATCAGTGATAAATATTTTACCTACTAACTATTTACAAGCCGTGCACATAATTTATAGCCATGAAATAAAAAGATATCCTCTCTTTCGTTAATGCTAATGTGTTAGTAGTCTTATGTTTAAAAACTGTGAAATGTGCTTAAGTTATGAAAAAACTTTTTTAAAAATGCAAGAATCTATCTTTTCTCAAACGGTTATTCCCAATGTTGAAACAGTTTACGATATGCCTACACGTCTTCTAACCACTTGGTTATAGAAAGTTGCCATTCATTTTTGTAATATTATAAATTTATACTTTACAATACAAGAACAATCGCGTACGCTAACTCCTATGTAGCTGAGTGATTGAAGTGCCCGCCTGACAACCAAAAGGTCACAGGTTCAACCCTGAGAAAAGTCAGTAGCTTTTTGATGGTTTGAACCTGGAACTGGTTCCTGATCATTGGGATATAAATAAATTATCCTGGCTAATGGAACAGCTGATATTAGTCAGTAACAAAGCTACACAGATCATCTCACATCATTCTGCACTCGTTCTTCACTCATATTTGGGTAAAAATACGCACCTAGATGGCGTCTCCATTTCAATCGGTAATAATATAATATTAACCACAACAGTTCAGTGGCAACAACCATAAACCAAATGTATTTTCCGATACAAATAATTTCCTTTAACCACTTTTCTTGACGTCGATGCCGAAGGAAGGCTCGGCGTTTTGTCAACAAAGATCCTCTGGAGAAAGCACCTCGACAGAGGACATCACTATACCATACACATGTCCTTCCTAGAGTCAGGAAGTCCTTCCTGGGTCAACGGTGACGTAACGATCCGACCGCAACCCGCGTCGTGCGAAAGTGACAGAAGTAGAAAGCTATTAGACGACTAATCATTACTGAAATTAATAGCCAATCAAAATCACTCAATCGACTATTGCTAAGTACGTAAAATACTTGTAAAGATACCAGGCTAGCTTTCAACAAGTTTGTTGGATGCTTACCAAGGTGTTCGTGTATATTTCAATTTGGAGGAGACTCCGTTAGTTTCTTAGATAATTTAGTTTCGTCCCCGGCGAAAGTTTGTGGCTAGGAACATATCGAACTACAATATAAAAAAAATCCTATAAATAACATTTTTTCTACAAATACAAAGGTTAAATTGAAATTCCAATAACCCATATTCCACCTTGTGACCATGGTTTTGAACCTAGTAGTAGTTGAAAAATCCTCTTCGCCCGTTTTTTACAAATACAAATATTGAATACCTGTTGTACTTTCAAAGATCCGTTTCGAATGACCAAGTTTTCGAACGTAAAGGTTTATTTTCAAGCTGAATAGTCTCGTGAATTGGGAAAATTCTATTCATACCCGGGTTTTGTGAACAATTTATTGTCACACACACTTAACACAAACACGTACACGAAAACATTTAACAACATTTTTCAAAACTAATAATGTAAGGTGAACACATGGTGTAGCTGGCAGAAGGTTAGTCATGTGGTTTATAACCTGAGTCACTAGACAAAAGCCAAATCATCAATACAACATCCTATTTCACATCTAAATTTTCAATTATTTCTTTCAATTAGTTATGCTTTAAGGGCACGTGGTACGAACCCCGCATCCTAGGGATCGAAACCGTTCCCTCCCACCTGTCTGAGACGCTTACGGGGCTAGTAACAAACGAATTGAAGATACATATAATACGAGTGTAGACATTTCTCCCTTCAATTGTATGATTTTGAGTAAATAAAAAGAGGTTGTCCTATTACTAAGGAGGATAAAAATACAAGACTAATTTTAATTGTATGTTTGACGCATTGGACAATAAAACGGGTTTAATCACCAAATGATCAAAGGGTAATTGTGAATACACCGTAAACATTGATTTGGCTTAAATTGGTTGTTACGATAAACGAAACATTAACACGTGTTAATATGTTAATATTAAACATGTTTAGTGCTGGTAATTGTGATATTGCGTTGGGTTTAGTATGGGATTCTATTTTGAAATTGAGGTTTCCTTATTGCAACTGTTAATAGTTTACATGAATATTGAGTTTAACGAGTATACAAAACAGTTAAAAATTTATTGGAAACTGGTAATAATAATCATATTATACTATACTAGTTATCGATCCGAATCAAATCAAATTAAAGCTAGTACAAAAGCGAATCTTACAATAGAGACAAAACTTTTAAACTTTTTCAAATTTATGTAAATTACAAAGAGTAGTTTCTGTTTATTTGTTCTTGATCGAGTCAATATCAGCTGCGAATATATCTCTCCACCAGTCGGCTGCTTTGGCGGGTATCAACCTGTGAAAGAAGCATTTCCGTTAAGTTATTGTTGGTTTAAAACATAAGAAATTGCACTTTTTCATTAAAGTTACAACTTTGCCCCAGCCAACGAAATGGGCTATTTTGGGGGCAGCCCCAAACCTTCAAATGTTAACACCTATCACGTGACCCCTAATTTTAAAGGGTTTATCAAGAGAAATTCAATGGCGTAAACCAAAGGTCAATATCGACCCCTAATCAAAATGGCAGCAATTTTAATTATTTAAGATGAGCAAGCAGGATAAAGCCTATACACACCCAGTTAACTTTAAAAGTTCAATATTTTAATACTGACCAAAAGGTGAATTCTCTTTTTTTATAAAGGTATGCTGAGTTTAGTTTTCCTGCTATGACCTGTGAAAAGTTAATAGGGGATATTTCAAATTACTGCCATTTTGATTAGGGGTGCGATATTGACCTCTTGTTTTCGCCATTTAATTTGTCTTAAAAACCCCATCAAAATGAGGCGTCCCATGATAGGTGTTTTTATTTAAAAATTTCGGGGGCTGGGGCAAAGTTGTAACTTTGATGAAAAAGTGAAGTTTTTTATGTTGTAGATATGTACCGAGTTTGGTTTTCCCACTGCAATGCGTTAAAAAGTTAACTGGGGGGTTCCAGACTGTTGCCTAACCCTGTATTTATAAAGCTGATAAATGAGTGGTAGGTATTTCAATCAATGAGTACAAAGGCACTCTCCTAACAAAAATTGTTCTTTCATCACAATACATTAATTTTCGACATTACTTTTATCGCAAGGTTATTACAAATGTAATATGTGAAATTGACGTTTTTACACAATTAAGAATGGATGTTTAATAAAGAATAGGTATAGGCTTTACAAAGCTTAAAATTACTTTGGAACGTAACAAAAAGATAATTATGCACATTCATTTAGTATTATATAGCCTACTTTGTCCATTCAACAACCCCATAAATAACGTTTAAGTGTTTTTTTTATCAGATTTTTACGTTATTTTTTAGGGTTATAAGGAAACCCCCATTAATAATCAAAATTTAGCAAAAATCAACTACTGGGGATAGGCAATTATTCGGGCTTGTACCCACATGAAAAATTTCTTTAAAATCAAACTACAGGTTATTTTTATACTCAAACTCGAAAATATTTACGAAATCACTTTCTCCATTTATTTCTGGGGATAAAGCAAACATTCATTTTGCGTGTTTCCTCTTTTGCTGCACAACTGATCCTACAACTTAAAATTAAACAAATAATTTATTTTCTATTTTTACCTGACGTAGTACATGACGAAATAGAGGTATGTAGGAATGGTGAGTGTGACTTTTTCTCTCTTGACAGCCCTAACTGTAGCTCTTGCTACTGAAGCAGCAGTTATGTCAGGTAGCACAGACCTGTAAAAACATACACATTTGTCTCAAACGGAAACATCCAAACTATTTCCATCGTTGGAGCTCTTACAAGCTGTAGGTTCAAAAACATTCACTCACGTACTGTATCAATAAATATTAGATCTTGCACATTTTGAATTGTTTTGTAGCAAAGTAAAAAAAAACTCTAGAACGTTTATCTAAAACAATATCTACTGTGAATTCATGAGGAATTAAACATTAAATAATATACACATATTAATTAAAGATAAAGAAAAATTCGGATGAAATGAAATAGTTTTTAAAAGCTAGATTTACATTAAGACGTATAATTTTAGGATTTTATAATATATGTATATAAATAATAAAATCATAACACCTTCGTTATAGTTTTCGAATAAAACGGCTGGCACACTTATATCAATCACCCTGTATATTCGAGCTTATAAGCTATAAACTCCTATATTTATATCCCTAGTTATATTTATTATCCTAAAAGAGACACTCCGACATCATATATATACACCAAAAGTGGTAAAAACTGCTTTTTGTTATTTCATGTAAGTTTCAATAAAATACTTTACAACTATTAATCGGAATTAATGATGTAAATCCTCAAACACACAAAAAAGTTTCCAAATTAATAATGCCATGTTTGTTTCGAAACAGGTAAAAACCTCTTTCTTCTTACTTGACTTCCCAATGTTTCTTGTCCTGGGGTGGTGCTAGAAAGAACGGTTGTACGGTTGTGGTTTTGATGTGTCTATGATGCTTCCTCAACTCCTCTCTCAAACAGCCCATCAAAGCTGAAAAGAACATATGTTTAGAAAAGGATTTACATAAAAAAAAATATTTTGAAGATGGAGTTAGAGTGCGCTTGGGGTTGAATAAACATTATAACCATTGTAAATGTAGTATAAGATACTTAGACAATCTTAATCGGTCATCTATTTAGACAAAACTTGAGAGAATATTCACCCATTGCCCTTACTGTAACCTACGCCAAGGTCACTAAGACAATTATTGACCATTTCCAGTTATTATAAAAGCTTTTATTGTAAAGTAAGGCCGTAAAGCCGAGAGCTGAAGCTCTTTACAGGCGCATGGCAATGATTGAATAAAACCCTATTCAACTCACTTCTCGACAACTCCAACGATTGGTTGTAAAACGTCTTTATGTACTCGCGTGCACATTTATTACTTTACGTACTCACGTGCCAATTTATTTCTTAACATGCTCACGTCTTTTACTGGCATAATAAATGGAAAATTATTTGGTAAATCTGACAAAGAAATGCTCATGTGCACATTTATTGGAATGTGTTCTATTAAAATAGTTCTTAAATCTAATCGAAGATAAAAGAAGCAATCTAATATTTGTGTCGAGAACATCGTGTAAGCACTTTCCACGAAATGGAGCACGATATCGTGACAAAAAGTCAAACAAATTCTATATTAAATGTTCAATTTTATGTCAAAGAACGTACCTTCTTTATTGTAATGTGAATTGAGAACTATATGCTACTTTGCCGATTACTGCTGCTTCCCTGAAGGAATTGTAATTTAGATTTAATCTGCTTTATCCTCGTTGAGTTTTAATCGACACGGTTCCTTAGAAAGCTTTAGTTCAATTTTAGCCTGTTAGAAACAGTAGGCAAACAAAACGGTTAAACGAGATAAATGTATGTTTATCCTCAACACTTTGATCTTTTTAATGTTAATTATGTTTTAACCTGCAATAGCTCTGTACTGTAATTTAGCTTTGAACTGTAATTAAAAAAAGCACAAGAGAAATAAATGTTATTCATATAGATTGTAAACATGTTATCCAACTTTATAACAGGTGTTTACGATAAAAATACTAGTGTTTCATAATTTATTACTTACAACTTATTGTAATTTTGTTTTTATTTTATGGAATAAATAATTTTGACTTGACTTGATTTATAATGTGATTAAATTGAGTTATAAAATGGTGATTTTTTAATCTTTTCGGTAAAATACTCAAAGATTTTGAGCAGTCGTACTCATTGGCCATTGCTTAGTAAAATATCCTAAGTATTAAACTACCAATGGTATTCATAGGAATGTCATTTTATTTGTATTGTATTTAGTAATTTACTACTGTACTGTAGATGATTTATACACTGCACGTGTCACGATTAATTTATTAACATTTTTGTTTAACTGATTTGTCTATTTGGCTATCCATAGAACAGTGTAAAATATTAAAGTTTTATTTATAGTTTTAACGAAAAACAAATATTTCCAGAACAGAGGCTAGCACTAAATGTTTTTTGCCTGAAACTAAGAAATGTCCATCAATTTAGAGCCGTTTCATTGGCGCTATTTTTGAAATGATTGTGGGCCAACGTTACTCGTATTATAGTAAAGGTAATATAATTGTTATAATAGTAATCATATTTGCTGTTACCTGAAACTCCAGCCTTGGAAGCTGTGTAGGGTGCTATGTTCGCAGCGACTGCTAGCGCTGCAGCGGATGAAATAGCAACTATGTGGCCTCCGGTGGGTCTCTCTATCATTCCTGGTAGGAACGCCTTTATCGTCTGAAAATTATAACATTTGTTCGTTTAATTTCAATGTTATAGACAACTGGCAATTATTTAAAGGACCATTAAACATGTTCAGCCAAGATTTTGAAATCATTTACATCTTTAACTTGCCCAAATACTGTAACAATTTGATTAACTTATTTTGCAATTTTGTTTATAGAATAGCTATCACATGGTATTTACTATTACGGGCAAATTATAAATTTGTTAATGCAAAAAGATCCATTAAAATTGACTTTATTTATAACTAGACAAAAGAGTACGTATATTTTGAATTTAATGTCTTTCAAATCTTAATTAGAGCATATTATATGGTTAGAAAAATTTTAAACCCACTATCTTACTGTAAAAATAGTTAATTCTTCATTATATCAATCAATCTTCCCAAGTTGACGTGATTACTATTAATCGCTAATATAGTTATTTGCGTGAGTTTAATTGCCCATTAATAATTTGAAAATATACCAACCATTAAAAAGAATATTTATTTTATTACTTACGATTACTTCTTGAAAATATCGGATACAATCAATTTAGAATATCACACTCCTGATAGTGATTGATTTAACTTAGTCAGATATTAAGCTTTTTTAAATACCTTATTCTTACTGTAAGTAAGTAAAGATTCAATTACAAAAGCCCACCCACAATTTAAATAGATTTAATAAATAACTCTTGATGAAAAATTCCTCCGTCCCTTATTTGATCCTTTGCTGGTTTTGCAATTTATTATATGCTACACTATAGAGGACTTAATTTATTTAACTGTGGAAATACTCCCAGCGGTTTCAATGAGTCAATGAGTACTAGGCAGTGCCATCCCTCTCATTTTTAAAGTAGGCCTATATATTTTTTAAACACTTATATTCCCCACGGATACTAGAACAGACCCGGTATGGAACATAAAGGAATTATGTTATAATGTTGCAACATAAACAAATGGTGTTACTGGCCCGAAAGTAAATATTATTTAACATCGCTTAGAACGGTCTAAACCGTATGTTAATGTTAGTATAGGATTCAGGCCAGTTATGTAATTTGTATAGGTTTATGATCGATATATGTTCCTGATCTTACATCAGGATTATCTTATTCGTGATCTTCCCTCAGTAATCAGCTGATCTTAAAGTCGCATGTCTCTCACGGACTTTAACTGACGTTAAGTACAACAATATTTTAACCCTGAAAGGCGTAAGGTACCTTTATTAGGATTAGTTCACAAAAGTTGGTACTCAAATTGCCTTATAGGTGCACATTGGTATGATGACGTATAGACTATCTTTTTGTCTATGGTACAGTATAGCCGTTGATTATGGTGAGTAAAATCAATGGTATACCTACATATTATTATCAAAGGTAGTTGTCTTTTGAGTATAATGGTTTTACCTGCTGTACATAATAAATTTGAACTGAATTTCAACATTACAGATACATTTTAAATATGTTTAGTATTGTTTAAATTATTAAATATAAGACTAAAAAACATCAGATTAAGATCCTTAATAATGAATACAACTTGAATTATTTTTAACTCTAAAAATATGTCTTCTGGCTCTACTAGACCATGTACAGAAATGTATAAAACAGAAGGAAATCGAATAGGTTACATTCAATATTTCATACACAAGTTATCCATAATACGCATATATATTTCTGTATATGGAGTTTTCTCTTAGTTTAGGTTATACAACAAATCTAAATTCATAACTAAAGTAGGGTTTCCATTTGTTTGGGTCAGTAAGCTAATAAATATGCATAGCCAAAGTTTTAGTCGTTTACATGTGGAAACAAACATCACATTTCCACTCAGTTCTGCTGATTCGAATATCTAATCTTTTAATTTTGCTGTACTGTATCACTGATTGAATTACCCCGCCGCAAATCTGCAGACTAAGCGAATTTACATTTAACTGATTATATCTTCACTAAACTATCTCCATAAAAATTTCAGATTTATTTCCATCAGTTTAACGAGTACATAGGTTTTCTGCTCTAGGGAAGGTAATAAGATGTTATTTTGTAAAATATCAATAGTTCAGTGATTTGTCTAACTTTGATTGAAGTATATTCATAAACAAGAAAACTGCATAATATTATGAGAATTTAATAATCTATTTTTAAGCTCTACAAAAAAATGTAGTAAGAAATTTCGAAATTGTATGCCCAAATAGAAAAATCCAATGTCTTCCCCATAAACCCACGCTCCATAGTCCAATCATGATGGTTCACGAAATCGTTTGAATAAACGTAGGTTTATGCTACACGCTTGTAAAAAAATTTGTAAAAGTTGGATCATATTTGCCAAATTTATCGTGCTAACGGAAACACACGTAGGGTCTATATAATGTATAAATATATATTTTTAGCGTACGAACAGTTTCTGGTATTTAGTTTTGTATGACCTAGACCGAGTCCCAGTCAAGGTCAAGCTTCTTGACTGAATATTCTGACGTGACACATAGCTCTAATCGTGCTCAAGACACCTTTAATGTGGAGCCTTCAGGTGCAAAAACTTTATTATATTAAATCTGTATAGTTTAGCCCCAATTCCAAATGATATTTGACCAAATCTTACCCAGAACTGAGCGAGCAAGTTGACGTCTATGATTCTCATTATCTGGTCCTCCGATGTGCTCAGAAGACTTCCCGCCTGGACGATTCCCGCGTTGTTCACCAGGATATCCACAGGCCCCTTCTCTGACGTCACCCTCTTGGCGAAGCTGCTGACGTCATCTCGTGACGTCACATCCAGCCTGTAACTGGTCACGTGATCCTTCACAGCCACGTGTTCTTGTTGTACCAGACGTGATGTTTCTTGACATTCCGTCTCATTAACGTCCACAACTGTGACATGACAGCCCTCCTTGGCGAAGCTGAGGGCGAGTTCTCTACCTAGGGCTCCACCCCCACCGGTTATCTGGAATTCAAAAATGATCCGTATGGGAGATACTGGAGTAGACACCTGTCTACATGGACGAACTGTTGCTGAGTTATTGTTAGTCAGATGATAAATGGAGCAAATAAATAATGACCTACATAAAAAATTGTCCATCCCTTAGTTGTAGTCGTGTATTTATACTCAACCGAGTTATCTCATCTCTTTATTAATTAGCGTTTGGTCAATCAGAATCAAACGTTACGTCTATTTTATTTCAAACTTATGACAAATTACCCCAAGAGTGTAATGTGAAGCAGTATACGTCTAACCCTCAAGATGAGCTGAAATTTTAGTGGAATTGAACAACTGCAGTTATAATTAAACTGCAGAGAATTGCTCGTAGTATCAAAAATAACCTTTATTTGTTTATTCCTTATGATTTTTTGGTACCAAAACCTAAATGTGGTTTGTAATCAATCCAAGAAGGACGAACCATAGATTATTCTAGAGATTAAATTGAACCCAAACAATCAATTAATTAAACTATGTCACACAACCATAGAATGTGTAATTGAGCCAAACAAACTGTAGCAGGACAACATTGCTTACTCAGTGTTAGAGATATGTCAGATGCTGACATAATGCTACGACATGATGACGTCATCATAACAGCTGAGCTGAGACATGAGTGATTGATATTCATATGTTTGTCAAGTACTAATGTGTTTACGTCCAATACCTTGAAGCGTGAAATAATAAAATACATTACTAAGAGATGAGGTAATTTATAATAACGTGTTGAGAAATCGTGAGATATATTTCATTCGAACTAAATAATTGTATAGAAATTACTCCCAATAAGAAAATTGTAGTAAGCCTGACTAATATGCACAACTCCTACCTGTTCCCGGTTTTGGTAATTTTTGTTAAATCAGGTTCGTAGCAACAGGAATAAAATGTTACCTAAAACAACTAGTTGATAATGTTAGCTAAGTTTAGCGCCATTAAACTGACTCCGGTATTTTCACGACAAAGTATACAGACCGTTTTGTTCGAGCTGAATTATTATAAATTAAGTAAATAATGTGTTTTTCATTGTGTTTTTTTCAAAATTGCTGGAGTCGTGTACTTTTCTTGTTAAGTCTTATCTCACCTGATCGGATTTCTTCACGGCGTCGGATTTCAAATACCAAAACGACGAGAAACCGTTGATTTCAACTAATCGAGATGAGACATTTCCGCAATATAGTTAGATTATACAGGGTGTTGAAAATGTCTGGAACCAACATTATATCTGGTGAGTGGTTAAAGAAAAACAACTGATATTTTGTGTACGGATATACTATGGTTTTACCTATCTTTTGGTGCCGTATGAAATTTTTTACCACTTATAGGGAACGTCCTGTGGAGGATGCAGTAAAAAGTTTCAATGGAAGCCTATGGTAAATGATACATCATTTTAAAGGTATTTTTTTTCTGAGTAAGGAGCCACCAGTTTCATCTCAAAAGGACCACCCTAGCGAAAATGGCGACTGTTTGAAGTTTTTGAAAATAATTGAAAGCTTAATTGGTATTTTATTTATGTTAAAAATAAGTTTAGTAAAACAATACAAACAATTTAGTTAAATGTTTTTTTAGTCACTTTTCAGTTCACCACGTTATAAACTACTGTACTTCATAACTGGCTTGTAATAGCATTTAAAGGAAACAAATACGGACCATTTAAATAGCAATGTTTTTAAATTTCAAACAGTCGCCATTTTTGCTAGGGTGGTCCTTTTGAGATGAAACTTGTGGCTCCTTACTCAGAAAAAAATTGCCTTTAAAATGATGTATCATTTACCATATGCTTCTATTAAAACTTTTTACTGCATCCTCCACAGGACGTTCCCTATAAGTGGTAAAAAATGTCATAAGGCACCAAAAGATGATTAAACCATAGTATATCCGTACACAAAATATCAGTTGTTTTTCTTTAACCACTCACCAGATATAATGTTGGTTCCAGACATTTTCAACACCCTGTATAAACTCGTGGTCAACTAAACTTTAAAAACCCCTAGTTGTGTGTAAAGAAAGAAGTAATGTCCAAACCGTGTCACGTTCAATGTATTCTACAGTACATAGAACGAGGACTGATGTTCTATTTAATTATATCGCATGACCGATATTGAAATATAAATAAAGTTAAACAGTTAATGAAAAAATACAAAACTAATTCCAAACATTGTGTATTAACTTCCACATATTTATCCCTTAGCGGCGATCTAAAAGGTCTCTTATGTACAATACGCTAGCTAAAAAGTACTAAATTTACACTATTGTCACCAAAAGAAACCCATTGATTCTTTGAGTTTCAACAACTACACTGTAGTAATGATTTAAATAATAGTTTAGATTTCAGAAGCGACAAAATCAAATTTTAATAATATTAGTTAACTCGTAGAATGCTTTCATTAATTTACATTGGCACGCTCCGATTAATGGTTAGTTGGATGGCTTAATAAACTTTATATTATTTTCTAGGATCGGTAAAACATGTCAGGAACGGAGTTATTTTAAATAAAGTTGTACATTTTAAACAGAACTACCCACTAAGTGTTTATTTCTTATTATTTTAAATATAACGATTATTATTTTATTATTACTATTATTTTATTATTATTATTATTACTTATTATTTTAAATATAACAGTCTAAAAATATAAATTTTGGAATAGATAATTTACTTTCTTAGGGTTTTCTAAATATGCATGAAATAAGTAGTCTCTTCAAGTATTGTATGATTTCAACAATTTGTTGCATTCTTGATAAAGTTTCCCAAAAAGGATAATGGCTAATCAATGTCATTTTATCTAGTTTTAGTGCACCTTAATAATTGTAGTGTAAAGTAAATTATTTAAATAGGTATCTCCAAATATTTATGACGAAAGATTCTGAACAAAACACTCATATTACTTCATATTCCTTACTTTTGGACATTTATATATATATATATTTATTTTTATTTTTTTTAGTGAGTTTAATTTTACATGAAGCATTTATTTTCATTTGGGTGTTTCTGTGTCATAAAGAAACTTAACACAACTTAAAAATATCAAACAAATCTTTGAAAATAACGGTGGGATATTGTGAATTGTAAATAAAAAAAAACATTCAGAAAAAAAACCTGTACATTTAAAACAAATTTTGGTTGGTTATGTAAAGTCTACTCTCCCGTTAACTGGTTTGTTAAACAAATTAACATTGGAAACTCTATATTTGCACGGCCAGAACGAAACCAGTTGTCCAACAGGAAGAAAGGACAAGGCCAGAAGACCAGACGTTTTCCTCATGGACGACAGCTTAACCATCTACCTGTCACAATGGAACCAGTTATCTGTTTCCTGATCCAACTTTTCTTTTGGACAGTTTGATGTATTAAATCAGCAATTTACAAATAAATGGAGACCTGACTTTGACATCAAAATATTCATTAGTCTTTCAGACTTGGAAGGGATACTTTTGAGGAAAGTTTCGCACTTTTCATTTGCAAATTGTGAAAAACTCTTTAAGAACACGTTGATAGTAAACCGAGTAGTAACTGATTGTGCAACCAAAGTTTAAAGGTAAAATGTCTTCTATAAAACGACTAACGTGTGTTCATAATGATTTAAAAAAAACGGCTGCAATGATTTATTTCAAATTGTTAAAAATGTCTTAGTTTTAGGCTAAAACAATACCCACCCTAGACTCTGTTCTGGGAAAATTCGTTTTTCGTTAAAAACTTAAACTGAAATTATATTTAACATTAGTCGGATTGTCAAGTAGCTATGGCAATTTTACGAAAATTTAAATAAATCGATTGCAACATATGCTTGTAACAAATTATCTACAGTACAGAATCAAATTGAAATTGTGATACTTGTTACAGTAAAAATGAGTTTAGTTTCTCTAGTACAACCTAGAGAACTGAACAACCTGGGATCTCTGAACAACCCATAAAACTTAAAAGGGGATATTAGTGTATGTTTTTACATGAGGTCTCTCAGGCTAATGGAAAATGAAAAATGGCTGCCATTCTGTAATGGGTTCAAATAAAGACCTCTAGTTTTCGCAGATTTTTTTACTAATGACCTTCTAAATTAAGTGTCACTTTACATTTATATCATTTGATTTGACCCTAAAATAACCCATTTTGGGTTTACGAATAATATTGGGATGGCAACAAAAAAGTACACTTTTATGCCAATTTCATAGAGCTGTTCTTTGGTTTTATACTTTTGCCCATTCTGTATAAATATTATTGTCTATAGTGCAAATACAATTATTAATCATAGGAAGTAATTTGTGTGGATATTACGATATTTACTTATGGTTGCCTTACATTTTCATAGGATTTTAGTTAAGAAAAATTCGTTTTTACGTTTACGATTTATTAGTTAGTTGATAGACTCACCAAAACATGTTTTCCCACGAGGCTTTTCCCTGGCTTGGGATAGAAGTAGTGCCAAATCTCGAGCAGGCTGAGATAAATAGAGTAGTACATAGCCAAACACGATCTCAGACCCAGCTTCAACATCTCACCAGGGCTTTGGTCCATGGCTGCCGTGTGAATCTGACTGTTAAACAAATAGATTAAATTATAATTAATTACTGTTTACTTAGAAGTATATATTGAATTATACAACATTTCCTACCATTTGATAGTGTCATTAAATTTAATTAGTTTTCTTCTACGAAATGTATTCATCGTGGTTTGGATTTTACCTTAGGGTTGTATATAGAATAAATTGTTCACAGATTCTACATAACTGTAATCTACTTTTTTGACACAAAACATGGTGACATGGAAATTTCCATTTGATAATTAAAAGTTAAAACAAAACGAGATATATTTTTCGGGGATAATACAAAGCCAATGCAATATTCAAAACCATCCAATTTGTTGAAAAGGACGACGTGTGTTTTTATTTTCAAACATTTCAAATTGCCTCTGTCAAAACATTGACGGTTGTTGAGGTTATACGTTTTTGACGTTAAACTTAATATGTTAATTTGTATATAGATAAGAAAATCGCTGGTACCTGATATTGCAGGTAATATAGGCTAAGCATTTTTTGCTTTGCTTAAAGAAAATCAACACTTCGTTATAAAAACGAAAATATAGTTTGTGTTATTGATATCGAGGTTTATTTCATAATATTTTACACTTAAAGGAATTACACCAATATTTTCCTATCATGAATATGAACGGCAAAATTACATGTTACATCACTTAACATATTTTGTCATGCAAAAATCTTAATAGATTTCAAAATTGATGGATTAAAAGTAAAGGTTGCAATGGAATATAGGTCATAAAGAATTCAAATACAAAAAATATCAAATTCCAGGAAAAATATTCCGCAACCGCAGTATTTTAAGCGTTAAATCAAACGCTGTGTTTCAACAATTCAACTTTGTCATCAATTGTATAGTTTTATCTATTGTAGAATTGATGTGGGTTTTCCACTAGGTTTATGAAATTGACATATATACTGAACCTATTCTTTAACCATTTGTTTAATATTTGACAAATATTTATTCTTCTGTATAAAGTGAGACATCCTATTTTACTTTAATTCTTCATCTAAGATTAAAATTAGGATTCGATAAAAAAAAATATACTATGACAATTTATACAGGCGGAGTTATTTAGTTTTTGTTTTCTTTCTTATTTATAGTAAAATTTATTTTTGCGTCACAACACATTTTCATGAAAAAAATATTTATGATTTAAGCTATATGTTGCAGGGTTTTTTCCTTTTCCTACATAGAGGCTATAATATATACAACAACTCAACATACTATTGAAAATTCAAAATATCAATACTCAACGGTTCAAACAACAGCATTTCTATCTGATCAAATCCTTATAGTAAACTCTTAGCAGACCAATAAGCTTACCTCGGTCGTGTAGCTGGTGACGATATAACTGTAGACTGCACACAGTTCTACCTGGGCAGGACAGAGTGGTTAACCATGAAGCTCTTCCTCAACATACCCAGATTGTCGCCACAGTAAGCCGTACACCGGTAGAACATCTAGAACAGGCCGACGAACTCACCGACCTTGCCGCTTATCTCATACTTGTTGTGTGTCTTGGATTTAGACACTAAATGATGTGACTGGGATCCCCGCTCTAGTAGATTTGTTTGAAAGATTACTAATGAAATTATTTGTTTTTGTCAGGCAAGTACGGAAATGCTATGACTATGTAAAAACAATCAATTACACATTTCGAGATAGTTATTGTTGTACTAAGACAAGTTTTCCGTGATTTTAAACGAGTTAGACTTCTCATCCCAATGTAAATTTTGAACCTCTTTTTTCTTGTCTAGTTTTTGTCTAGGTGACACTGGTCGATAGTATCGACGAAATTTTGTTTCTATTATTTGAGGGTTAATATCATAATTAGTTCATCAACACATGATAATTCAATTTTCAATAATTCAATTTTGTGTTTTACTGCTTGGTTGAGGAGACGAATTTTTGTTAATGATTAGATCGGTTTATTTTTGGGTGCACCAGACATAAATAACAACAAAATTGGCTTCAGCTCTTTTATAAGGATGAGAAATCTACTAAGGGAGTATTTTTATCCATGGTAATACATAGGGATTGAAATCATAGTGCGCATATAGTAAAATGATTTATATAATAGTTTTGTCACTCCTGATGACTATTTTCTTAATGTACTACTTATTTTTTATTATTTGGTCAGAACTAAAGTAAATATGTTATTAACATTACCAAGACAAATTTATCTTTAGAAAGTGCAGCTTCAGACAAGATTTATTATGTTGATCTCATTACTAAACATGGACGATAAACTTTAGTCGATTTCCAGGATGTAATCTATTATTGAGTATCACTCTACTCCACTTTTAGGCTTAATATTTTGGTCTTTTTTTTTATTCTGGCATTTTTTGAATCGTTACTAAATTAACCATGGATATTGTTGAACAAATTACTCGGTTTTTACCTATCATTAACTACAACGGTAGGCTTTAAGTTTGATCGAGTCTATCATTTTTTGTAGTGCTAAAACTATTCCTAAAGATAATATATTGACTGATCATTCTGCATCTTTTGACACATAGGTATCTTACTCGCCTTTGGACATTTCCGTTTAAGGAAATTTGTATACAGTACATTATTGAACATCAAAATCAAAATTGTATTGTGAGGTTATGAATTAGAGGTACAATTAGAAGTCAAATACAAATGAGTTGTTCAAATAAACAGTACTTTTTCATATTTTGTTTTCTTATTATAACTTTTCCCCTAAATAGATACAAATATAATTTTACCCAAATTATAAGAAGACTAAAAACCCTTCAATATTACACGTTGAACATGAAATTCTAGCCGATGGAAAGTGAGACATATCAGTTTTTATACAACCGTTATTTTTAAAAATATAGATACAACAAAAATACATAAAAAGTAAAAAATGTTGACCACAAAGGTTTTTTTTTAACAAGTACAAACTACAAAAACCTTATTTAGTACTAAAAAGTAGAATATTAACATAATTAGCATTTTCAATAGGTAATCCCTCCGTGTTATAGGGACTCCAGAATTGTATCAATCTATATTCTATACTGTAAACAACCACTTATACCACTTTTTTTGTAGGGTGAACGTTGGCCGCAGGGGGGCCAAAGAGTTCAGAGAAGCTGAAGACCTCGGAGCCAAGACACGGCGGGAAGCAATATGTGATCAGAAATTCAACAAGTGTTTCTTCTCTTCGCGGCAACTCGTTAAGATCCTCCGAAGTTTCTAGCAATAGTAGTTCATCAATTGTATATAGTCAGTTTGTAAACTACCGAAAAAACTGAACTCCAAACACGGTAGCTCATTGGTAGATAAACCTAACCAATTGCTAAAACCGTCTTACGATAGTTACCACTAGCGTGTGACCACTGACGATGTTACCATTTTGATTCTTGATACCCCAAAATATTGAGCACATTTCTTGCTACTCCAGCAAATGCCAATTTTGAAGAGAGAAAGAATAAAGATCAAGAACGGTATTACGAATAATTTAGTTCCCATTGTATCTTATATGAGATGGACCAAAATGTTTATCTTGAATATTCACTTTATGTAAGGGAAGAATGTAAAGATGATCATAGGTAATCATGTATGTTTTTAAACTGCAGACTCAATATGTAACAGCTTTGAGCTAGTTAATTGATATTTAAGTACTCCTAAACTCAAAGCTAAAAGTTGTTCATTGTATTTCAGAAAAATTAAACAAAATATCCCTTGATTTACTGTATATATGTACATCATATACACCGGAGTTGTTTACAACCAAATTTGTAATACAAGATAATTTTGTAGTTAAACGTTTGCAACCTGGAACCGTTGAAAATAGCTGTACACTTTGTTAATGTCAATTAACTGACCAAACTAACACATGTAGTCATTATTATCTTGTGTTTTGTTGAATAATTTTAAGTTTTGTAAATAAACGAATTTATTTTTTGTTGTCTACATTATTTTTACATACATTTTTTATAATCGAGTGAATAGAGAGGTCTGATAATTTACAAAAATGCATTTTTTATGTCGGTCCACAGTAAAATCAAGATTACTGATCCACATAAACATTCACAACCAATAAATTATATATGTAGGATGTTTAATTTAGAATACAATATCAATGAACAACACAACGGACTTACACTTGAATTCCATTACATTTGGAAGACAAAAAAATGAAAAGTGATTAACTGTTTGTAATTAGCAACAAAACCAAGTAAACGTTGCATTGAATTATGTTTGATCAAAACGTATGTTATAAATCTTTGCTGAAGATTAGTATCCTTGGATCAAAATCAAGTTTCAGAAATCCGTAGTAACTTTTTACTGAAAAATTATAATGGTAGTACGACAAAAAGGAACTATTACTCTTTCTGACAAATTATCATGGTAGTACGCCAAAATAGAGCTATTTTTCATACAATGCTTAGTAGACAAAACTTGGCAACTGTTGAACTTGGAAAAAATATTGTCATAGCCCTTTTTTGTAAATATCATTCCATGCAAAATGTTATTTCAGCTTTAACCAAGCAGCCCATTTATAGTCGGTCGTGGCTTTACTCAATTTCCAAAATCCATAACATACATCCAAAATAAGTTCATGTTTATATGTCGTTTAAAATATATATAAATAATATTTTTCCAAAAAGTGACAAAAAAATTATATAAATTATAACCTCAGTAATCTGTAATTCTCAAGAAACCAATAAAACAACAAATCCAAGTACAAAAGGATAACTGGTTTGTCATGTATAAAGGGTTATCTAAGTTTTAAGACGCATTAGGGATAATTAAATGTCAAACGGGACTTTGGCAAATATCAAATATCTAAAGGTGAATCCGAAGGTCAATATGGAAATAGAGGTTACAAGGGTTATGCAATTTCCTGCCAACATTTCCAGCTTCCTCAGTGAAAGGTCGGCTAAACCCTGTTTGTATATAGCTTCTCACACTATTCGTTTTGGATGCAATTAAATGCAAAAAGTAAGTAACGTAAAATCATCTTGCTATAACGGAGAGTGAGAAGATTTCCTTCACCTGAGAGAGCTATCATTTTATTTTCTTGCCTTATACATATGGAGAAATTTTAATGTTTTTAAAAGAATAATGGTGATTTCATCATATAAACCCATAAAATAACAGAAAATAAAATTTTCTCTAAAATGGCCTGAACCATTCTGATTAAAATTTAATATGTTATACTGCTTTAAACTCTTAACAAAACAAAATACTCAAATTACTGTAAATATCATGGTTTATTGTAACTTATATGATTTTGCCATACAAACTCATATAGGCCTAATAACAAAAACTCAGTTTTTTTTTCAAAAATCTCGACCGATTTTGATTAGAGTTAAGTGTTTTATAGTTATTATAATTCTAAACAGAATAGTGCAACCATTGCTGTAAAGATTATGGTTCCATAGTTATTGCAACATTTGTAATTTTACCAAAAAATACAATACTATCTCTCACTGCTTGCCTATGATAAGGGTTGTTTGCAAGCTTGGGAGAAAGTATGTGTCAGATTTCTGATACCATTTATTTCATAATAAATTGGTGCAGCTAATTACAACAAAATTGGCCAGCATCTAACCATCAGGGAAAATTAGCATATGACCATTGGTGATTATAGTGATCAAACCCGTGTCTCCATAATAACGTTTATGCTCTAGCCACTATAGCAGCTCGTTGCCAAATGACGTAAATATGATACTAAGTTAAAAAGTCCTAAGCCGTCGACAGCATTGAAAAACATTAAATTGGATCTAATAAATAAACTAACGTTGCAATCACTCAAGTACGGCGAGTTGAGTTTATATTGGGAATTTTCGAAAATTTCAAGGAAAATATATTGAGTTTTTGTGCTAATTGTAGGTTTTAAAACGAAAGAGTGTGTGATATGATACTTGTAAAATAAGTAACAAAGTAAAATGTAAATTAGTCGGAAAAAGTCACAAAGGTAAATTGGTCGGAAAATATTCATAAATGAAACAATGAAAAATTAATTGTCTTCATAATTATACACTCTAATTGTTATTTTTTTTAATTTGCCAAAATACAGTGCATGTCAAAACGTACAGGTTGGTAAAATTGACTAAAAAGTTACACAACACAGTTAAGAAACTAACAAATTTATTTAATTAGTTATTATCTAAAAAAATGTTTTTTGTTGTGGTAAAATATAAGATAGCTCCTGTATTGTACAATATTGTAAAATTCTAGTCAAGCAATCTAATTATAATAGTAGTAACACCTTAGATACTTCAACCATTTCACCGAAAGGTATAGAGTGTCGGGGTCAAGTTGGTATAGCAGTTGTTAGGAGGGGACCCAGGGGGGGGGGCTCGGGGGGAAGGGGGGCCCTTGACAATGTGGGTAGCCCAAACTACCGGGCTTCACTTGTCCTGTCAAAGTGACAGGGAAAGTCCCCTTCGAGCTCTATT